GAAAAGTTAGTCAAAAAGGAAAACCCAGCCCAACTGGATAGATCAATGCCTAAAATCTGACAGCTTGACATGTCTGAATCAAAAAATAACTCAAAGCTAGATCCCCAAGAGAATAAAATGATGAATTCTTGGTGTAGACTGAAAACGTCACCTTATAACCAGAACTCTGGGTTTTGCGCTCTCCTCAAGCAATCATTTATCTTAACAAAAGAGAACAGATGCTAACCAATTAGTGCATTAAAAAAAGGATGTGGAGAAATAGGAACACTTTTGCACTGTTGGTGGGAGTGTAAATTAGTTCAACCATTGTGGAAGACAGTGTGGCGATTCCTCAAGGACCTAGAAATAGAAATTCCATTTGACCCAGCAATCCCATTACTGGGTATATATCCAGAAGATTACAAATCGTTCTACTATAAGGACACGTGCACACGAATGTTCATTGCAGCACTGTTTACAATAGCAAAGACCTGGAACCAACTCAAATGCCCATTGACGATCGACTGGATAGGGAAAATGTGGCACATATACACTATGGAATATTATGCAGCCATCAAAAACGATGAGTTCATGTCCTTTGTAGGGACATGGATGAACCTGGAAACCATCATTCTCAGCAAACTGACAGAAGAGCAGAAGATCAAACACCGCATGTTCTCACTCATAGGCGGGTGTTGAACAATGAGAACACATGGACACGGGGAGGGGAGCACTACACACTGGGGTCAGTTGGGGGGAAATAGGGGAGGGATGGTGGGGGGTGGGGAGCTGGGGAGAGATAGCAAGGGGAGAAATGCCAGATGTAGGTGATGGGGAGGAAGGCAGCAAATCACACTGCCACGTGTGTACCTATGCAACAATTTTGCATGTTCTTCACATGTACCCCAAAACCTAAAATGCAATAAAATAAATGGGAAAAAATTAAAATAATAAATAAATAAATAAATAAAATGAGGTGAAAAGACACAACTATTGATTTCTAACTTTTTCTTATTTAGAAAGCGTTGTTTCTTTTTCTAAAACAGGGGATGCTTCCAATGTGCTTGTCACCCCTATGCAGAGGCCCAGCTAGGCCTCACAGGATTACTTCTATGTTGGCACCTGTATTGCTGAAGCAAGGGCTACTATAGCTTTTAAATCTACTGCCTTGTCTTAAGCCCAAATTATTTCTCAACTGAAAACAGGGTGCCCATCCGCTGATACATATATTTATCATTTCTGCAGCTTCCGCATCCACAAGCTTCCTCTCACTCACTTCTGGGGACTCGCTGCTCTGTACAATATCCAAACACTTCTCCTCCTATGTTTGTGTATTACACCCAACCTCCTAAGAGAGAAAGTGGCAAACATCAGCAGCCATGTCTGCTCATTTCTGCTTGCTAACATAATTTCACAAAGCCCCTGACTCCACAACAATGTGCAGCTCTTGAAAGGATGCTTTGAAGACGATGCAGTATTAGCAAACGGTCCCCATACCTCTTGCCTGGTCACTCTATTATTTACAAGATAAATGACACTAATCCTTGCCTTTTCTAACATAAAATGTCTAACAGGCTTAGTGATTATGCTTCTGTAATCTACAACCAGATGTACTCTTACACCAAAACTTTGATGTGATTTTGCATGCACCAACCTCCAGCATCTGTATATCAGCAGTGGGTTGAAGCGTCTGTGCTGGAGCAGCCTGACAAAACCCCTCTCAAAGGCTGCTCCTGGGCTACGGGTCTCAGCCTACAAGTGTTCAGTAAGACCTCTGAATAAAACTAACTTTAATTCTTTAAAAGCTTGATATTTTTTCTTTAGTCAACATCAAGTTAGACAGAGATCTTATTTACGTACCTGGTAAAAGTATACATGCCTGTAATTGACATTTTCTCTCCTTTATAGCAAGTGGAAGTGCCATTCATCTAGGCCCCTGGATTTGTTACCCTTAGCATCAGAAAATGAAATCAGGACACAAAATAAAAGCAACAACAAAAAAATAAACCTCAGGGTCTAAAGTTCACATTTAAAAGAGTTTCAAAAGTAATATGGACAACTGGCAACGATCTCTTTAGGCTACTAATGTCTATATCTGACAATTAATATGCTAAAGGTGGCCAATATGCAAATGATAACAGAAAACAGAAGGGAAAACCGAAGAAAGTGCTTGGATTCTCTACCTCTGAACAACAGTTAGCTAGCTGAATACGTTACTAAATCTCATTGTGAGGACTAGGAGTGGGGATCTAGGTTTAATTCCTAGTTAATCATTAACTATGTGAACTTATTTAAAGTTCTCTGGGCCTCAGTTTACCTCTAAAATGAGTACAATTGTCAATGAAATTTAACAAACATTTACCATGTGAGTAAAACAAACACCATAGCCCTTGTTCCAAATTCTGACATATCTAAATTCTATCACTGTTATGGTTATGACTTTCTCATTCTTAGAATAACAGGGTTTATCAGGAATTATAATTAGACAGTTCTATACTTGATTTAGATATCTAAATTTTTAATCAAGTGTAACAGAACCGCTTGACATGCCACCCATCACCAAGACATGGTGTTACGTAGCCAATTCCATTTGAACACTAATAAATGTAACCAGTGTCTGTCTACTGAACTTCATGAGACAAACTGCTTTATTTTTACTTTTGCTGTTTCTGAGGCTTAGCAGTGCCAGATAGAGCTAACATAATTATTACAATGCTAAAAGATTCTACTAAAGACAAATATGCCTTAAAAACACATTACTATTTCAAATATTACACCTGTACAGCACCTTGTTGTCCTCAAAGGTATTTCACATTCAGTAGGTAAGGTTTACCCCGCTGTGGAGGGTGGAGAGAACAGAAGAAGAAGAAAAGCTCGAGACAAGAATTTTTCCCCGTTTGAAAATGTGACCCTTTAAACAGCCTTCGTAATTAGCAATAATTGCTGCTGAATTTGCCAAATTTCAGTCAAAACAATATAAGCAATATCTAAAGTAATCGAAACCACTAAGAAGAAATAAGAATTTTCTTCCATTAAATGTAACACTTAACAATTACAATTTAGCTTCATTTTTTTCCTGCAACTTTTTTTCCTTCTGCAGTAAGAACTGTACTTTCCTTAAAATTGCAAAGTATTTTATTGACCATAAGTTACATTGGTAGAAATCATATCCCAAGACCTTTATAAGGCTTTAAACAAAATTTATGGCTCAGATATCTGCATTAATAAATGACAACACAGGCTTTGAATCCACTGGCAGACTGAAGATTTTCTTTACCCAGGTTTTCCCAACTTATCTTGTGTTCTAACGTTTGTGGATTTCAATACATTGGACAAGAATGATATTTGAATTGAAGAGGACAAGGATATTTAAGGATAAACTATTCTTGATCACCGTATATGAAGTCAGCAAGACATTCAATTAGACTCACTTTTCTCTCTGCTTATAATGAAGACACATAAGATCAAGTCTTTTCATTATGAAAATTGTTACAGACCTAGGAAACAAAGAAAATATCTGTAGAATAATCTATTGTCAAAAATAAAATCAGATCAAATTTTTAAATTGTATAAGTTTATTGTGAATACAAAAGAACAGTTGGCAAACCTGGAGATGTCAAACCAAAATGGTTAGAAGTCTGTGCAAAGCGGTTATAGAACCATTTATAAAGCATAAGGGAGAAAGTATTTTTGCCCTCTTTTGTGACTGGCTATTACATGTTAACATTCTTTAAAAGGAAAGCAGACCAGTTGTTGATTTGTCTACACAGTAGGCCCTCCCTTATCCTTGGGGAATCCTTTCCAAAACCTTTTCTATACGTTCATACCTATGATAAAGTTTATAAATTAAGTACAGTTAGAGATTAACACCAATGACTAGTAATAACAGAACAAGTATAAGAGTACACCAGCATTACTCTTTCACTTTGGGTTTTTTTTTTTTTGAGCACAGAGTTTCGCTTTTGTTGCTCAGGCTGGATGGAATGCACAGTGTCATGATCTTGGCTCACTCCAACTTCTGCCTCCCAGGTTCAAGAGATTCTCCTGCCTCAGCCTCCTGAATAGCTGGGATTACAGGCACCCGCCACCACACCCAGCTAATTTTTTGTACTTTTACTAGAGATGGGGTTTCACTATGTTGGCCAAGCTGGTCGAAAACTACTGACCTCAGGTGATCCACCCACCTTGGCCTCCCAAAGTGCTGGGATTAAAGCCACTGCGCCTGGTCACCTTTTGGGGTCATTTTTAGGTAAAATAAAGGTGACTTGAATACAAGCATTGCAATAACAGGACTCATCTAGCAGCCTCCTAAGTGACTAATAGGTAGATGACATCTATAGCATGGATCCACTGGACAAAGGGATGATTCGCCTGCTGGACAGGATGGCACAGGACTTGAGATTTCATGATGCTACTCAGAATGGTGCACAATTTAAATCATGTGAATTGTTTCTAGAATTTTCCATTTAGTATTTTTAGACTGAGGTTGACCATGGACAGGTTTCTGAAACTACAGAAAGCAAAATCGCAGGTAAGAGGTGACTACTACAGCTAACAAGTTTGATTTCACTAAACCATGCTGACAAAGTCTTACATTTTGTGTTTTGTTTGACTAGAACTAGCACTTCAGGGACATCAGGATGACTTAAGTTTCGGCTCTGTGGCTATGGGTGGTTGGCCTTGGGATATATCTAAATGGTGGCCTCTGTTTTTACTTTTCTTTAACATATACTATCTATCCAATAGAATTCCCTAAAACCAGAACAATAATTTTGGACCATCCATATAGAATGAACTTTGTCCTACAGAAAGCTTTTGTTGCAGAGCAAGTTTACATGTGATACACGACTTGCAAGCAGCACAAAAAGTTAGTAGTTTTTATCAGCTGCAGGAGCGACTTTGAAATGGTTACCTGAATAGTGATCAAAACCTGAGAAAGCTTTCTCTTCATTTCTTCTGACCAGACAATCCCACCGCTCAAAAATCCCAACCAAAAATAAAGTGACAAACTAACAACAGAGTAAAATGTTAGTTTCTGGAATTTTATTATTTTTAATACATACATTTCACAAACAGAAACCCTCTAAAACCACATACAATTCCACAACCAAATGTCTCAACTTTATCAACATTCTTTAACTATTTACACTGTCTTTCCTCAACAAAAGTGCAATCCAAGACATCTTGACAAGAAATCTTTACTGACAGGAATTTATTTTTGAGCTAGTTTTAATGGAGCCCATCCATTATATTTACTTTCAATTACCTGGAATATTCAGTCAACAGGACATGGAGATGAACTGGGTTGGGCAGCATCCTATTATAGGAAATAAACACTAAACAAGAACACTTTCTCCTTACTTCCTTCCCAACCTCCAATGAAAGTTACTCAACAGCTGCTACCAGGACACTAAACAGGAAAGCAAACTGGAGTTCTTGATCTAGACACAGGAGAACGGGCTGTGTGTTAGGCATCGGTCTTGCAGGACTAAACAGAAGACTTTGGCAAATTAGTTTTGGTGCTCTAATAAGGTACATATCAGTCTTATCTGTTAGTTTTAGAGTTCAAATACCTAATAAGATTATTTTTTGATAAGTGAATTTTCCACCAACGTATATGAAAATAACTTTTACTCAGAAAATGAACTTCTTGCACAAAAACTAGAAGTTACAGGGCATTTGAGGAAAGCTCCTCTGCAATTAGAACAGGATAATTTACTCAACCCCTCAACTTCATGGCACCATCTTTTAAAGTATAAACCCAGTATATTGCCTGCTTCAAATGTGACAAGAGAGTGAAGAGGTGAGATAGCCTGAAGAGAAAACTATCAATCAGAAATTGTCCTCTCACTAAACTAAAGCATATCATTGTACTTGTTCAAGGTATAAAACACTTAAAAATAAATAATTAAAAAATACTAACAGTAGATGAAAAATCACTTTGCAATTATTAGTCACTCTTAAGACTGCTTCATGTTACTGAACACTATTCATCAGAAAAACAGAAATTGGATCTCTTGAGTAACTAATATCCTTTTAGTATCCTAATCACAACAAAAATCATATTCTTTTTTTTATATATTCCAATTCCAATCAAAGTATTCAGGAAAAGTCTGGGGTATTAAGGTCAGCAGATGTGCAAAATAAGATTTATCTTCATGGTGTTGAATACTCAATTATATTTTATTCCCACATCAGCCAAATTTTCCCTCCAGACAAGAATGAATCGTCTTAAAGGCAAAAGATATTCTCAGATACGCTTCATGCTCTTCATGCTTTTCTCTTTATGTAACTGAATAAAGAATCCACAGAATCCTAACTTTATCAACGAAATAATGTCCAAGAGAAAATTTTACCCAATGACCATAAAACCTCATCATATTTATTTTTCAGGGGGTAGAAAGCCATCTAAAAAGGCAACATGGAACACAGCATATACTACACCGACAGCAGTTCTAAATTCAGGAGCGTGTATAGGTCAACTGTAAGCTTCAGAACAACAATATAAAGCAGGTTTCACTATAAAATTTTAGGTGGGTTAAAGATCAGCACTGTAAATATTTCACTATTTATTTTAAATTCAGAAATAAAATCCAAATGGTATTACGAGGACAAGAGAAACTTAGCACTTTTTGTATCTGGGTACATGAGAGAATCAATAAGGAAACAGTTAATTCACAACTACAGCTTTGTGCATTAAAGAAAAGTTTGCAGGAAGCTATGTCCTACAGTCCTCTTTTAGTTGCATCAAACACTGTCAGTTCAATGACCTTCTACTTCTTATAGGCATTTTATGCATTTCTTCCTACTGAAATATTTTTCAGATGATCAAATACCAACCTTCATGTAGCAAACCCAATCATCCAAACTGAAAGATGAAAAGTATTAGTCAATACACTGGTTAATGCTGTGTTGTTTCAAACAAAACATCAAATACTTCATATAGAACTGAAGCTGACTTGCAATATTGCCTAAATGCTTCTGAAAAGAAAAGCCACATAATAAAAAAAAAAGGTAAATGAGTAATATAAAATGTTCATATCAATGCCAAATTTGGCTATTCATAAAATTATTTTTCAGCATTCTTTTAGCATTCTCTATGCATATCATACATGAAATTATCAAATTCACTTTTGAGAAATCATATTCCAATTCTCTAAGGGTATGGGATGTCAGTCTATTCAATGCATCAGAATCTACTGAACCAAAGGCTGTATTTTGGAATGCCCAATGCTTTGACTAATCAAGTTTTATATATATATATGATCATCTTTTTTCATCAAGAGTAAGGTATCATGGGCTTTTTAGAATGGTCTATTTTTCAAACATACTGCTGTACATTACAATCATTGATTTTCCCAAATAAAACACACTTTTAAAAGAAATAGTAAAATGATTATTTTCTTCATCATCCTTTCACATTTTTTTTCCTTCCCTCTTAAGGTCAAATCTTTGCTTTTGGAAACTCAGAATTAAATGGGTTAAAAATGGCCATAAGCAATTTTGAGGACAGTTAAGTGTGCAACTATTGGTTCTGAAGCTCACCAGTTAGATTCTGTGGCTGAGAGATTTATCTGTGAGAAGAATCTGACACGAAATGACACTTCAACAGGGCAACCTGTATTAAATCATCATTGCCCAAATCATGTTATTCCTGGATTCTCCCTAAGAGCTATTTTACCAACTTCAAAGACACAATTCAAATGATTGAGTTCTGCCGTCTTGCATTATTTCCAAATCCATTTCACATATTCTGTTATAGGTCAGTTTACCAATACCTGCAACACTAATATCTTTCATATGTCTTACAATTTGGATATTATTTTCAGCATGAAAAATGGATTGGCAAATTACAATAGTGATAGAAACAGCACTGGTACCACTTTCAGGTCATCTGTCAGTGGGAGTAAACTGCCTGCCCACGTGTGCTGCAGAACACTAGGCTGAGATAGACTAATGGCTCTCCAGGCACAGACTTACATTCACTTGTCACATATTCTTCCAAAGACCCAAGGAAGATCTCAAAGTAGGTTTTTAGAAAGTTAACATTGTAGTAAGCATTTCCTTCCAACTCCTATCAAGCTTTTAGTTTAGAGCCACATAATTCCTTTCCTAAGTTCACCCCATCCTCCCCATCATCTTAAAGCTGCATCAAAGACTCTTGATAAGAGTGAACCCTGACCAAAATGCACAGGATTACCCATCTGGGCTCTTGTCAAAACCACAGACTAACACTCGGGAATCAACACAGGGCAAGGGCAGCCCCTATTTTAGTGGCACACATACAACAAAGTAACTCTCCTTTAAATTAGAAAAGAAATTGTCACAGAATGCTTCCCTATAAAAGATATGTAATAAAGTAATAATATCAATAAAATAGCTATTACTAAAGCAAAGCTTTCATCAATAAGCTTCGAGAACTTTGAAGGAGGAAAATGGCTTCACGAAATGGTAGTCCAGGTTCCCACAGTGTGGACACTGCTGGACGTTGCTATACTCGGAGAAGTACTGCATCCCGATCCTCACGTCGATCACTGGCTTCCCACAGTGCTTACAGTTCAGGCGCGCCTGGGGGAAACAGACACCATCAACCACACACCCCTTCGCTTCCCAACACTTGTCAAAGTCATCCAAATCAAAATGCTGGGAAACTGAGCAAGAGCTTCATAAAGCATCCCTTTTATTACCAAAACAGAGAAATGGGGTATGCCTGAAAGACTCCCAACTTCTCTCCTGAGATGCAGCACTGTGAGCTGTTTCACCTACTTATGAGAAGAAAATTCTAAGCTGGTACTGCCTAAACACTCTCCATGGAAGTTCCCTAACAATAAGAAACCTCTCCCCACCGGAAGCTGACTTCCCTCACCCAAACCTCCATGAAACTTCTTTGAAGATTCTGGGTTTATTTTCAAAATTCATACACATTTTTCATTCTACTCTATACAACTGTGTTTTGATGTAAAAAGAAACTTTCCCAAAATACATAAGTAAAGTTAGCAATCCAGGAAGTGCGGCGCTGGTCTGAGACTTCTGGAATTCCCAGCTCTGCATCTTCACTCATGCCTGGCCTCTCCTTAACAGCACAGTCCCGGAACCTTTCAGCAATGGCTCCAGGACTTAAGTGAATAACCAGAAATTATAAATTAAACAGACTCAATTTAGACTCATTTCTAAAAAGTACTCAGAAAGTATAATCTCAATTTGTTCTCAAAATATTCCTAGGAGGTAGATAGTATTAGCTGACTTTTAGATAATGCAACTGAGGCACATGCGATTAAGTACCATGCCCAAGACCACAGTTATAGAGCAGCAAGGCAGGGAGTGAACCAAAGCCGCCTGCTCACCCTCAGCCATGGCAGGAACTACTTTTCTGTAACCTGAGATAAACACTCTTTTAACAAAATCAAGAGAGATCTGAACAACATTAAAAGTGTGATTCTGAGCAAATCCATCTTCACCCTGTTATGCTTTTCTAAGAATCAATTATTGCTTATTTTTGGCTCCATCTTATTGAAGACTTCTCTTGATTCATTAGAAGTGTCTAAAACTTGTATCTTCACAGTGAATATTGTCAATATTTTTTTTTAATTTAAAAATGTAATCAAACCTTTAAATTTAAACATGTAATCAAACATGTTTTCCATTTCAGTAGGGGGCCAGATAAGAAAGGTCTGGGCTCCAATTATTTTAAGGAAAAAATATAGTGCATGGTGAATGCCAAGAGGCTGGGTGTGGCAGGATGCTGTTCTATTTTTCTTCCTAAAGACATGGAAAAAATCTCATTGCCTTTCAGTGGTGTATTAGAAAGAACACCACAACAGGCATCACAGAGTGCAGGCATGGCTGTGACAATATGTATGTAGACCTGGATAAAACACCCCAAGGTTTTAGGCCTCCATTGTATGAGAAAATGAGGAGGTTGGTCTAGATCCCAGGTCCTTTGCAGTGCTAATCTTCTGAGTTAACGGGCTCATTCTTTCACTTCCTTATTTAATTTAAAAGATAATCCTCCATGGTGTGTATGCCGAGGGAAGCCACTTCCTCTGGTTTCTCCCAAGAGCTGGCATTAAGGCACAATAAAAAATGCTACAGTGAATATCAACCAATCGTAAAAATATTCTCTTTACAAAAATCAAGCCATAATGCTAAAGACGTAAAACTATACAGTAACTACTAAAGTATGCATCAGCTATTTGTATTAAAAAAACAGGCTGGAACACTTTAGAGCAAAGAAAAATTTCTCTCCTGCCATGAGAGTATCAAGGAATTATATAACAAGATGTTCTCTCCCCAACACTTGGAAAGAAAGATATTTCCAAGGATTTTGTCTCCTGTGATTCTACAGGTTATTTGTGTTTTCATATGTGAATACTTCCTCTTTTTTATGATGACAGCTAAATTTCAGACGTTCTCATAGCATGAGACAATGCCACCTTTTAGTAGTGCTTTAAGGATTACAACAACCTCTAACACTTTACAAGGCAGGCAATTCCTGAGTAATTGTACTATCCCACAGAAAGAAAACAAGAAAATCCTGTCTATTTAAGAAAGTGACTTTCTTCCTTTTAAGTAACTTTTTTCTTATTAGAAATTTAGTATAAGCTAATCATACAGAATCTTCGAAAATATATTCAAGTAGCTGGGCACAGTGGCTCACACCTGTAATCCCAGCACTTTGGGAGGCTGAGGTGGGTGGATCATGAGGTGGAGGATCGAGACCATCCTGGCTAACATGGTGAAACCTTGTCTCCACTAAAAATACAAAAATTAGCTGGGCGTGGTGGTATGCACCTGTAGTCCCAGCTACTTGGGAGGCTGAGGCAGGAGAATCACTTGAACTGGGGAGGCAGAGGTTGCGGGGAGGCAGAGGTTGCAGTGAGCCAGGATCG